GAGAGATGGATGGGGAGGGGGAACTAATAGTTCGAGTGATGAATAAAGCCAAGGAGGAACGGGCAAATTTTAAGGTAGGAATGAGGCCTCAGAGAATTTCAGAAGGAAGAAGAAAAGGATTGAGGGAGAAGGGGAAGATGGGAGGCTCTACCCAAATCACCTTGGGAGAGATTGAGATGAAAGGATGGGTGTAAGGTGGGAGAATGACAGATAATAAGGGGGAGACGACAGAGTGGTGGCTTTAAAGGACCCTCAAGGAAAAAGCAATGAAGCAAGGGTGGAGAGAGGAAGTATTTAAATCCATCACTGAAATAGAGTACGAGAGAAAACGAAATACACCCGGGTATGGAAGGAGTGTGGAAGTGGGAGGACCAACGTAGCGAATGCGAAAATAGCCCTCAGAAACATTAGGATAAAAGAAAGAGATGGAAAGGATCCCGAAATTAAATTAAAAAAAGAACACAAAGGAAAATAGTGAGAAGAGATGGAGACGGGGCGATGCGGTGTCAAACCGAAATGCAATATCGAAACAGACAAGTGCAGATTGTGTACAGTCCCATGACACATTTATGGCAATTACACACAGAGAACTAATTACAAGATTGAATTGAATGAACCGAATGAGATCTTAGCTCCCTCGCTGATCAGCTGCATTAACTCCTCTGCGGAAAATACTCTATTATTAGGAGAGCTGTCTTGCTACTTAACAAGTAAAAGGTGTCTCATAGTAGCAGCCAGCGCATATGGAGCTCTATAGTGGCCTCACCACAAAATCTGAACATTGAGATTGATAAAAAAAGGTAGTATTGGATTGCTGTCAGTTGTACAGCTGTTTACAGTATTACCTCAAATTCCCAGTTGCGTTGGCTGAATTTCGCTCTTGCAAACAAAAAAGGCAACACGGGTAAACTGTCCTTTCGCAGAGGGAACAAACTTTAAAGGAATATTGAAATCTGTAGAGGTGAGGCCTCAGCTGTGCAGCTCGAGACAAGAAAATGCCGTTAGACACAGAGAGACTCCCAGAGCAGCGAAATAGAGGGGAGATAAGCGTGAATGACTGAGCCAAGGCAAAGCGGCACAGGGGAGACGCTGGAACTCAGCGGGGAGGGAGTAAGCGATCCGAAGTTTGACTAAACCCTAAACAAATCGCGCCGCCAAAAAAAAACAGGAGGGAGGGTGATGGCTGTCTCGAAGGAGAGATAGAGACGTGGCGGCTATCTCAAAAGGTGAAATTGAGATATAAATTTGAACGGATTGGAAAAGAGAAGCGGAAAGGTTGAAAGAAGAGACGAGAAGTCTGAGGGCTTTGAGGGAGGAAGCCGGGATATCAGTCTCGGAGGACAGATAAAGAGTAAATGGAAGGGTGGGGGAGCAGCATTTGAAAAGGAGGCCCGCCACTCACTGCAGTCAGGGACTTCCAGTATAGATTCTATCATGCTATCAACGTGCCAGTGGCGGCCGCGGTCTCACGGCAGCTAGCGAGGCTGGGGGAAGAGAGGAGTCCGGCTTACGAATTCAAAAGGAGAGAATGGGCGAGTGAGATGTCATGCTTTCTATCGGGGATTTGTGTCGCTATTTTGTTGTCGTCATTGTTGCTGCCACTGAATGTTTGTGAAGAAGAAAAAGAAAAAAAAACACACACGCCAGCCCAGCGGAGTTGAGCTGAGGAAGGGGGGCGAAGCGAGACAGAAAGAGTAGAAAGCAGAGAGAGGAGAAAGATAAGCAAGGAAAGGTAGACATCTAAATATATACTACAGAAAGGTAAAGCACATTGGGTGGCTGCCAGATTTAATCATCTTTAAAAAAAAAGGTCAGTCACAAGCTGTACAACACCAGCCTCCATTTCTTTGCATGGCTTGCCTAATTCTACTGGCATCTGTGTGACAGTGCCAGGTGGGATGCCGTCCATGTGGCGTCCCCGCTGGGCACCACGTCACCCCTCAGCTCCCCCGACACCGCCGATTGAGCTGCCTCCACTGGAGCTTTGCCACAATGTTACAGTGGCACACTTTGATTTGATCGCCAAGGAAATGTCCTTGATGGCATTCAGATATTCTGAGGAGGGCCCGGCGAATACAATAACCAAGGATTTTACAACGGTTGCTGACTGAATGTGGGCAATGATTGAATTGGCATTGTGCTTCTTTTTGCCCACACATGGGTACGGCCTACCTGAAGGACAAAGGACAGGAGAAAGAATGTCCCGTCATGTTTATGAGGCGGCGATTGCGACCTCTGGTACCATCTGTTAGAAAATTCGGTGTCTCTTCGCAGCCAGAGTTCTAGTTGCCGTTTTTCAAGTTTTCCCGTTTCAGTTCAGTTGTAAACCAACACACAACATACAGCGGTGGACAATAATAATACAGATAATATTGATGCAAAGCTTTAAGTGCAACTGGGAGAATCTGACATGTCTGTTGCTCTCTATTGTGCTACCGAACCTTTTCCAATCATTGGCAATCTGTTGGAATAGAAGTTGACAATACCTTATGAATCACTGGTATGTCGGTGGGGGTACTTGTAAGCCACTTGTACATGTCAGAGGCAAATGATTGTTTTTAAGTTCAGGAGTGTTTTAAGTGTGCAGGCGGGAGAGTTAGGGGCTTTTGACAATCTTCACAATTCCTGCCCCCAATCACCACAGGCCCAACCGTCGTGCTGGGCACTGTAGAAGTGCCAAGTGTGACGTACAATTTAATGGGAACAGAAAGGATCACAGGGACGGAGAGAGGAGGAAGTCGGATCATGCAGAGCTTAAGAAATAATGAGAATAATGAAAGTAAAAGCCTCAGGAATAACAGGACGCACAGTTCAAAAGTGACACCGGGCTGAGAGCAGAAAGGAGCACGCTGAGACACCGACAGACGAGAACACTGTTAATGAGCAACAGAGGGGGGGAGGGGAATGACATTATTTAAGAACGTAGAACCTGGAAACCGCAAAGTGCATGGCATTAACAATCATTTGCTGCCGCTAATTACGCGGTGTGTTCGACGAATATATCAAAAGGAAAGCAGATCTGGTCTGTAAATATATTTTAAAATACACGGAGACTTGCTGCACTAAACTATGTGATATACTATATAAACTAGTCTCCTCATCTGGAGAAATCAAACATCCAGAGATGCTTTTGAGTTTATATCATGCTGCATATGGCTCCTCGTATTGCACACTATGCTATTACTGAGGAAACAAATATCAGCATCCTATTTTAGCCCTGTTCTGTGCCTGGTAACCATTACAAGACATCATAGCAGAAAGAAGATAAGTGCATCTGCTGAGGCAGGGATGGATAA